ACTTTCTTATTATAAATAATTTTTGAAAATCTATTTAATAGACACAGCTCAGGTGCTGAGGCAGTGGAAAAAGATGAGATCTCTGATATCATGAAATCATGCTCTAATGTCATAATGAAATAGGACCCTTTTGGACAGTGGTAAGTGCAGTACAGAAAATAGCAGGCTTGAAAGCAGCAGCCCACCAGGTAGGGCATCCTTGAGGTTAATGCTTAGGAAAGGTTTCCAAAGGAAGGCAAAGTCTGAGCCAAGGAGATGAGCAGCAGAACAGCCAGGCAAAGGTCTAGGAGGCATCTGGAGGCAGTAGGAACAGTAGGGCCATTCTTTTTTTTTTTTTTCTTTGAGACAGAGTTTCATTCTGTCCCCCTGGGTGGAGTATCGTGACATCATAGCTCACAGCAACCTCAAACTCCTGGGTTTGAGCAATCCTCTAGCCTAAGCCTTCTGTGTAGAAAGAATAGGGACTGAAGATTCCATTTGGGGCAAGGGTAAAAACACCCCCACAAAAAAGGAAAAGCAGAGAAATAAGCTGAGCAAGGAATAAAAACAGTTTAGCTAGCTTACTTTTAAACCACCAGCTAAATTACTTATCTGAGCAGTTTCTGCTTGTACTGGAAGGCTGGCCTGTAAGAGATACAGCTTGAAACTCTGAGGAATAATGGCTATAGACAAAGCTATGCACAAGGCCTGGGAAGGAACATTAACCAGGTCATCCCCTGCCCAGTCAGCAGCCAAAGCAAATATCCATTGAGCTTTGTTTGATGGCCAAGGCAGAGATTAAGGGAACATCTCAAGCCCTGAAATATGGACAAGAAGGCTTGTACCCTAATCACAGAGGTAAACGCCTTCAGGTGGAGATCAAAAGAATTTTCCGTTCCACCAGTTCTTCAGAGGAGACTGATCCTGTCATATTTGCTCCAGAGAGAACTAGAGGGGATTAACCTCCCCCAAGGCATCTGTGTGCGTGACCACAGACAGGAGGCTGCCCCCTCACAAGGCTCGGGTTTCAGATTTCTCAAGGCTGCTCAGACTCTTAAAGTTAATGATTATAGAAAGAATAAGAACTAACATGCTTACTCGGAGAAACTGCTGGTATTTTTGTTCCCTTCCTCAGCTTACCCTCTGGTCTAAATGAAAAAATAGCCTTCTATAAAAGCTGAGTGGAGCAAACACTCAAGGCCACTTGCTGGAACCCCACAAGCTAGTGGTGGTCTCCTGTGTTCCCACCTTTGAAACTCCATCCTGACTTTTTATCTCTCACCGGACCTCCTCTGTCCTCTCTTAAAACTGGCCACAGAATGCATGATTGCAGCAAGCTGCTCTTCTTCCTCCAACCCGGCCCTGGAGCAGGTAAAATACCAGGGACTTGCTTTTGTTTGGAGTTGCCTTTCCTTGGCAAGGGAACAGAGGAACCTGAATTTCAAGTTCATATGATATGCAGGTTACCTTGCAGCGTGTGTGTCATGAGAGCATCCTGAGACCTTGGAAGATAAAATGAATCATACTGATTTGATTTTGTAGGCAAAGAATGCAAGATGAAAAGCTTCCTCCAAGACCTTGATACAGACCAGGACCCTAGGCATAATCTCTTTCTCTTATACCTCAAGACCCCAGAGTCCCAAGTTCCTGGAAAACCAGCCTCAGAAAGAGTGGGAAAACATGTGTGTTGACTTTGTGCCCCAGCCTCTAATGCAGCTCCTCTTGCTGTGCATGCTTTGGGAGGTCATTAACTTCTCTGAGCCTCAGATTTGTTATCTCTAGATTGAAAATAAAATAAATGTAAGGAATCTATGAGATGAGATATTAAAGGACTTTGTGGCCTGAAATATGCTAAGCAGTAATAGGTTATCAAATATCATCACCACAGTTTCTTTTGGCTCCTGTTTCAATAGTTCTGGACCCAAGATTTGCAGAGAGACTGAAGATTTTATCCAAGAATAAATTTCTAACTCACAGTCATTCCCCCAAACATCTGCTGGTAAAGAACACATTTAAGGAATGGTGGGACCACACCTACGGTACATTTTACAAGGGTACTTGTTGAATCTACTAAATGTAGAATCTAAGTGTCTTAACACAATAACTAAGAAAATGCAGTGAAGGCTATGCTAACCAGTTTCATGAAAGTATTCCAAATAGAAGATAAAACCAGCACATTGTATCCCATAATTGCATTAATGTACACAGCTATGATTTAATAATTAAAAAAACTGCTAATATATTAAAGTATTTTAGATCTCTTGATTCCAAATAATTTCCCATGCATCCCAGAGACTGCTGGGAGCAGTTGTAAAAGCTGCTTCCAAATGACTAAAACAGATGAGAGGGTTTATTTTTAAATATGCTACCATTTGTTAAAACAGATTAGTTTTTGAAATTCCCCAAACACCTACACCCTCAGAAAGAGAAATGTGTTTTCTAGGACTATTGGAAGGTATTCTGAGCATTTTCTGGGTCCTAGTGAGTGTCTGGTTTCTGAGAGGGCCTTGGCGAAACCCTCTGGGATCAACTGAAAGCAGGATAATCTCTTTGCAACATCAGGAATTGAAATATGTTTGTGCTCAACTCTCCTGCCACTGAGATGGACCAACTTCAGAGGGACAGAGTGAAGAAAATTGGAATCAAAGGACAAGAAATAGAAGAAAGAAGCGGGAGGGAGGTCACTGGAGTGGCTTGTGGTTCCCAATGTCTGAGCACTCCCCCAGTCATCTGCCAGCTGCTGCCCTGTTAATGATGGAGCATGTGGTTACTGCAAGATGTGCCGAGCGGGTGCTAGGGGCCCCATGGAGAGCAAGGCACCCAGAGCCCTGCCGCACTGGAGCCTCCCATCTTGAGGGGGGCAGCCTTAGCACTAAGAGTGATTACTTACTGGTGGACATCATGGGATATTCCACATAAGAGAAGTACAAGCAGCACAAGCCACAGAAAGGGGCCCAGTTCTAGGCTGTAAAGTCAGGAAGGCCTTCCTAAGGGACAGGAAAGGCAGGCAAAGAAGGGGCTGGGACAAAAGCATTCCACACAGAGGAAACTGCCTACAGGAGGAGGAAGAGATCATGGACTCCAAGGGATAGTAAAGACCACTGCGGCTGACAGAGAGAGATGGAGGAACAGGGGCTCCTGTTTTCTGTTGGGAAAGGTGACAATGCTGATCTAGCATCAATCACACCTAAGGCCCAAAACACTGACACTTTTACTGTCCTGTGATCAAGGGTTTGGGTCTCAGGAATGCTGGGCAGGGCTGGGGTGCAGTTATGTGGTCTTGGAATTGCTACCAGGTGGATGAGGGCTCCCGCCCATGGTGTGGGTCTCAGGGGTTCTCCATAGGGGACTTCATAGTCTCCTGATTGCTTTCTCTACCTCTGGCATTGCCCCTCTTGACTCTACCCTCCATCCCATCCTAATAGAAGTCTTCCTAAAAGGCTGCTCTGAGCAAGTTTCCCACCTGCTTAAAAACCTTCTGATGGCTCACCAGTGTTCACAGCAGCACTGCTTGTGACAGGCAAAAGGCAGAACCCAAATGTCTATCAACAGATAACCAATGAATCAAATGTGGTCCATCTGCACAGTGGTATACTATGCAGAAATCCTGACACAGCCTATGACGGGGCTGAACTTTGAAGACATCATGCTAAGTGAAATCAGCTGGACACAAAAAGATGAATCTTGTATGATTCTACTAGTACGCGGCAGCTAGAACAGGCCAATTCCTAGAGACCGAAAGGAGAACAGAGGCTCCTTTCCTCCCAGAGGTTACCAGGGGCTGAGGGGTTGGGGGAGTGGGCAGTTTGTATTTAATGAATACAGAGTTTCTATTCTGGTGATGGATAGTGGTGAGGGCTGCACAACCCTGGAATATATTTAATGCCACCGAACTGTAGAATACAAATATCTTAACACAATAACTGAGAAAATGACATGAAGGCTATGTTAACCAGTTTGATGAAAATATTTCAAATTGTATATAAAAACAGCACACTGTACCCAATGACTGTATTAATATACACAGCTATGATTTAATAAAACAAATTTAAAAAAAGAAAAACAAAATACTGAAAATCATAAAATGAAACCAACAAGCAAACAAAAATAAACAAACCCCTTTGAAGGATCCCCAGGCACTCCGGATAAAACCCAAGCTGTTCAATGGGGTCTGGCCCCTCTATGCCTCCCCACTGCTGCCCAGCAGGGCTCGGTCCTCCAACTGCTGCCTGTGGCCAGGATTCTGCCTGTAGTTATACAGCCACCTTCAGCATTCAGCTCAGACACCCTCTCTCTGGGGGTGCGTTCCTCCATGCTCCCTCCTTCCTCTATGCTTCACTGGGGTCTTCTCTTTGGGCCACCCTAAGATCCTCTTTTAAATATATGCTTTAAGTGTTTATCTCCCACCCTTAGTAACTACAGAATTGCTGAGAACTGGAACACATATTATTTACCACGGCATCTCCTGCATCTAGCACTGAACATCTGGTACAAATTAGATACACAATAACAGTAGAAACTAATTAACAGCAGAATAATAGACATCAGAAATTATGCTGGGGCCACCTTCGTCCATCATCATTATCATCATTATATCGTCATAATTATTGTCATCATCAACATCACTGTATCATCATCGCCATCACTGTCATCATCGTCATGACCACCACCATCATCATCACCTCACAGGCACTTCAGACCATCCCGGAGAATCATGAGTAATGAGTTCTCTTCTTTACCACCATTCATTGGCAAGGGAGGTAACTTACGGTTCAGACCACTAAACCCTAATGAGACACTCCCAGGAAATAAAGACACTTTACCACCTAGAATTTGACACGGGTAGAAAGTATTCAGGAGATCCCCTTCAGCATCCTAGAACCGTGTGTACATGGAAAGATAAACAGGAGCCATACTCAAGACCCGGGACAAGGACAACCCAAGAGATGGAAGCCATCTGAGGGAGCCACCTCCCCCCAGCAGCATCTGCAGTAAGACTGAAGCTAGCGCTTGAGACTCACCATCAGCACAGCCCTCCGGAAGAGTCTGGAGTCAGTGGCTCTGGTTTTGAGGAGGTGGATACTGGCCACGTCAGCCCCGCCACGGTCTGCTGCCAAGCACACACGGCGAGGGTCTCCGCCGAATGCTCCAATGTGGGTGCGTACCCAGGTCAGAGCTGCCACCTGGTCCAGCAGCCCCCAGTTGCCACTTGCCTCTCCAGACCCTTCAGAAAAGAAGAAAGACTTTCACCCTTTGACATTTTGCAATCTCATTTAACAACCATGGTGTTGTCTCTGCCAGGCACTTGGTTCCTCTAAGATACCTGGGCTTTTGTCCCACAGGTTGAGATAATGAGTTACAAATACAGTGAAGGATAGTGGGAAGAATATTGGCTTTGAAATCAGACACAACCATGCTTGAATTCTAGCATTACCTTTGCCAGCTAGGAGACCTTAGACGTGACCCTTCACATCCATGGGCCCATGGCTTCCCATCAGTAGATGGGAGCGTTGCTCAGTTAGAGGCAATGCACATGCAGTTCCACCACTCGTTGGTGGGAAGAGGTGAACTCCCTGCCCTACACAGCTTGGACCCCATTTCAGGTGGCTTCCCAGGACAGTGGCCAGGCCAGGTGGGGGCTCTAGATCCTATTCCTTCCCCTTCCTCGTCTTCTGCAACTATAATATCATGCAACTAAACTAATCTCTTTCCTTTCTCATGGAAAGGACAGGTTTTAAACATGTGTTAAAAACCCAGCACTACTATTTTTTAATGAAGTATAGCACAAACACATTCTTCTTTATAGCTTCTTGGGACACTACATGCCCACTCCCTTCTGATCATTCTGAAGTCAGTGGATGCCCCTTGTCAAGGTACCCTGCAAACTTGTGCTCCTTTATGAAATCTCGAAACACTAACCAGCATTCTCGTCTCCACTGAGGAGGCCCCCACACATGTTTTCTGACTTTGCCCTAAGAAACAGATATCAAGGCGTCCAGGACCCCTACATGCAGACCAACATCAAATAAACACACATGTGCAGCTCAGATGCTCCTAGAGCTCCAGCCCCACCACATCTCCCCATGAGGCACCGTAGCTGTGATTAACAGGCTTCAGTATCCAGCAAGAAACCACTGACAAGACTCTGTATTCTCACATAGAAAAAAGAAGGAAAAAATAAAAAGTCTGATTCTCCAATGTAGTATTCACAAAACTGAAGCTAATACCCATGCAGAGACATGAACAAATCATTTTCCAGCACATCACATCATGTTCCGAGATTGGTAAAGCCATTAGTATCACATAATCCCTGCTGCAAACTTTTCTGGGGTGTGCATATTGTTAAGATGAACACGTCTGTTTCCCTCAAGGTCTCAGGGAACCCAAAAAAGCGGGGCACTGACTCCAACTCCTATAAATTTGGGAGGTGATATCCATGGCCTGCCCTTCCAGGGACAATGGGGAAAGGGGGATGTTCCTGACTCTCACTTCTCATGCGTCAGCTTCCCACTACCTGAGAAGAGCCAGTGCTGTCCTCTGGGGTCCACCCTCCCAGGAGATCAGGGGTGAGGGCACTTTCCAGGGCTCTCATCAAACTAGTGCGGACTGGGCTCCATCTGGGGCTGGGCCAGGCACCATGCTGGGGACCGTGCTGGGGGCACTCAGCACAGAAGGCAGGTAATAAGCAGTTATAGTCTGAGAGTTCAGCACCCTTTCTTTTCCTGGTGAAGAAATTAAAACTTAAGAAGGAAAGAGCTTGTTTAGATGCAAGAAGTAAATGTGAGATCAAGTTGGAACTCAAATCCTAATTCACAACCAGAACTCTGTCCTAATGCTTAATCTAATTCAAACATTTGTTGAAAAAAATCTACCATGTGTCTTAAACAATGTATGTGTTCTATTTCTGGAATTATCGCCACTCAAAGAGGCTACATAACTCCCTCATTCCTAGTGTATCAAGTCTGAATGTCTTCCTGGCTGTTCAGATTTTTCAAGATGTCCGGTTAGCCTGCCTGATCAGTCTGAGTCCCTGTCACTGCCCACATCCAGCCTGTTGCAGCCTGGGGTGGCTCAGCCCCAGTTCTCCTCACACTCAGGTCCACTAGGTTCAGTCTCACCATAAGCACAAGCTGCACCACAGATGAGTGTGTGGGAAAGCTCAGCCCCAGGGCAGGGGAGGACAGGGCTCTGGCCGCTGCCCAGGAGCTACCGCCTGGTGGGGAGGCGGATGTGGACGGAAGCTCTCTGGACCTGGGTAGCGTCCACATGGCCCTGATCTGCCCACCACTTACTCCTCTGATCAGGGCCACCCAGCAAACATTTCAATTGTCCCCTCGGCAGAAGCCCCCCTAGTGCAGTTCTGGGTTCCCAGCAGGTCCTCAACCAGGTCCTGTCAATGGACACGGGCAGGAGGTGGCACAGAGGCTTCCGAGCCAGACTGCTGGCTGCAATCCTGGCCCCACCACTTACTGGCTGTGGGGTCCCTGGACAAGTTACTTAGGTTTGTGGGCTTTGGTCTATAAAATGATGACAGTACTTACCTCTTTCAGTTGTTATGATGAATAAATTAGCTACTGTTTATAAAAGGGAACCAAACAGAGCCTGGCATAAAGCACTATAGAAGATTAACTTTTTAATAAAATAGAACAAGTTTAGTCCCTACCATCATCTCACCGATGACCCGAGAAGGGCCTGCCTTGTCTCCTGCGGCAGGAGCAGCAGCCGTGATAGGCCCCACTGGGGCCACCTTCTGTGCCTGACCTTCTATTTAGGAAGGACACAGACCCTCTCCACAAGGGATGGTGAGGTCATGCACTGCATGGTTCCTACTGGCAGCCTGGCCTTCTGTCTGGCTCCCTGGCCAAAGCACACTTCCTCCCTCCCACGCCCTATGGAGGGCCAGCAGACCAGTGCCTTGTCCACCTTCTCCTTCTCTGTCCCTGATGCCACCCCCAGCTCCCCTCAGTGCATTGCTGTGCCAGGCAAAAGACAATCACTGAGTGCCAGATGCCCCTGAGGTCTGTCCTGCCTGCAGCATCCAAGCCTGGGGACAGATGTGGCCTCCCCTGGCCCACTGGGGAAGCCTTCACTATTTTTTCCAACAGCTCATTTCGACAGGCGCCAAGGTTGCCTTTAAATACAGGGCAGGGCTTGTCTTTTCTCTCAGAAAGCACGAGTTTGTCTAGCCAGCCTCAGGCTGGGCACTGGCTTCAGCTTCCATCTTTCTCTACCTCTTTTGAAAAGTGCCTCTGGAGCATGGGGCTCTAGGGGACCATCTCCTCTCTGGGACACATTTATGGGCCGAGCTGAGGCACACACTGCAGCTATTCAGCCCGATTCAATAAATGCCAAGGCTGCTGTGGCCACCATCCAGAGGCAGCTCTGTGCCCGCCACTAGGCAGATGCTGGGCCGGGAACAGAAGAAAACACAGCCCGGTCTTGAAAGAGCCCCTGTCTGCGGGAAGATGGGGACGCTGACTCGTGCAAGTCCTGCTGGGTGCCAGAGGAGGCCTTCCGGCTTTTCTCTCATGCACTCTCTCACGGAAGCTGCTACCTTGCACTGGCCTCATCTGTTGACAGATGGGCCCTGCAATAGGAGGTGGAAAGAAGGAACTGCCCTGAGCCCCCGGAGCCTCAGGCCTCACAGAGCGCTGGGGGGCCTCTCAGACCCTGTCCTGCAGGACCCCAGGCTGAGGCTGGCATTCAACGTGAGCAGTCCTTTCCAGACCTCTCTTCTGAACAGCCATTTTCAACTGTTTAAAATGGAAAAAGGAAACGATGAATTGGCGGAGCATGAGGAATCTGTAAGGCAATAAAGCCCTTCTGTGCGACCCTGCAATGGTGGACGCGGGACATCTTGTGTTTGGCAAAACCCCTGGAACATACCACGCGGAGAGTGAGCTCCAATGTAAAGTATGGAAGCTGTGAGTCACGTGCATAATAAAATGCCCTGCTGGTTCAGCCAGAATCACAGCGTGCCCACCCAAAGCATGGCATTACTAACAACGGGGAAACAGGGGCGGGGAGAGGGAGTGTTGGGAATGCTCTGTGCTTTCTGCTCAAGTTTTCTGTAAACTTAAACCAGCTCTAAATAGCAAAATCTGTTAATTAAAAAAAAAAACCAGAAAAGGGGATGGAGGAAGTGTTTGTGCCACAGGCTTACTGGGGGGACTAGCAGAGACGAGGCCGCTCCGCGCTCCCCAGGGAGGGGAGCACCTGCTTCCAGTTGGTGGCTGCACCCAGTGTAGCTCTGCAGAGCCTGTCCCCCAAGTGTGCCTGAGGTGGGCAGGAGAGGGCTCCTGCAGCCAGGAGGCCTGTGTCCCTATCATGGGTCTGCTGGTCCGCTGCCCAAGGTCCTGTCTCTGTGCCTCAGTTTCCTGAATAATTCACTGAGGATACTGAGGTCTCCGTGCCCCTTTCAGGGCAAACTATAAGGAGGTGCAGTGCAAGAGACCCAAAGGGTCTTTGGAAAATCGGGAGGGACTTGCTATGAGAGCCAGTGAATAAAACAAAGGGCCTGTGGCTAAATGGACACAAAAGACTGACCTTGCTCTGTCCAGGAGGAACAAGGCATCCACAGGCCTTTCTAGGCCCCTGAGGCGGCGAGCCACCATTCAGTACTTCCTGTTATTATTCAACCAGCAGGTCTAGTGCCCAGGATGCCCCTGTGGGTGATAAAGGCCCTCACGGAGCCTTGTCTCAGCGTGAAGTAGCCACTCAATGCCGGCCATGCAGCTCTCCTGAGAGCTGAAGGGGGCCACCCTGGAGAAATACCTGGCACAGGGAGGCGCCCCACTGGTGCAATTTCCCTTCTCTCTTGCTGATAGTTCTCCTCTGAGCAAAAATGAACAGGCACCATTGGTGCAAGTGAGGAATAAGTGTTCTGGAAGTTTCCATCGCCTCCCTACAGCAGCTGTCCCTGCCAGCAGCCAAAACGAGTTTGCCTCTCCAGAAGCACATGAATTCTCAGCAAGATTACATTCTGTGAAATCAAAATCCTCCACCCCCTCAGCAACAGACAGCATATGGAAAGTCGCTCTCTTCTGTCTCAAAATGCTCTAAGCCAAGAAGCCAGCCATGTCTGGGGCGAGCTCCATGGGCCTTCCACAGGACAAGCCCTGAGTGTCACCCGCCTCTTCTGAGAAAGGAGCTACTGACTCAGTTCCTCACAGTCAGTGTTGCATTCAAACAGACCAAACGAGACCCAGGAAAGAGAGAAAATAAACTCACATGTGAATAATTACTTATACTCTCCAAAGAGTGTCCACAAAGCCCCAGTCACCTATGTCTCAAAAGCACATCTGTGTGAAGTAGGGTGGGGATAATGCAGTGAGGGACCTAGGGTTCCCCAGGCCGAGAACAGGGGGAGGGTAGGGGGAAGCTGTATCCCCTCTTAGGTTCCCAGGGGACCCTGCTACCTCTAAGGGAAAATCTGAAATCATTGTCCCTGACTCCCCCCACATTGGCATAGCTGCATTTTGCCTTAATTTGTTGCCTGTTTCCTAAGTTTAATATCTTCTTATGTCTGGCCCAGGCCCAGAATCTTGGTTGTGGTACCCAAGGCCTCATGCCATGTGGTCACCAGCTCTCTGGGTTTCTGTTCCTGCAGGATACCTACCACCTTCACACCCTAATCCGCCATAGCTCCTTCCCTCCTGCCCCCACACTGAGCATGATACAACGGGCCAGGTCTTCAACAAGACCCTTTCCAAACAGAGATGAAGTTCCATGCCCATCCTTGAGGGCATGTACAATCCACTACATTCTCTAAAACCTTCCCAGTATTCTCTCACCTGGATACACAGGGTAAAATGTTCCCATTTTCCAGAGGAGAAGACTGATAGTCGGAGAAAGGAAGAGTTTTTTCCAAGGTCCCACAGCCAACAAGTGGCAGAGCTGGCCTTTGGCTCTTCAGAGTCCAAGGCCAGTGTGTCCACCGTCTCCCACCATGGTCTAACACCCCCACCACCCCTGCCGATGTCTGAAGAAGGAAGAGAGGACGTAGTTGGAGGATGTTTGGGTCGGTTCAGACCTCAGTTCTGCCCTGGTGAGTGATAAATATGATCCTGCCTGGGCATAGCGCAGGACAGTGTTCACAGTGAGGCCCGAATTAGAGGAGGTGAAAATCACTACCCACACAGCCCTCATTCTCAGGCAGACGGCCTCCCCACAGGCCGGAGAGCACCCCGCGATGCACACACCCTGAGCCTGTTCAGGGCAAGTCAAGCCCTGGTGCATCCTGGCTCTGCTATTTCCTAACTACATAACCTGAGACACTTTCTACCCTCCTGGGCCTCGATTTCCTCTTCAACATATACATGCACACACACACACACACACATACACACACACGTACACACACCCTCCACAAGATAATGCCCATGATGTACTTGGAACAGCTTTAGACACAAAATTCTCAATAAATGGCAACCATTGTTCTCATGTATAGGTGTCAGCATCAGTGGAAGGTCTCAGAATGTGCTGGAACCTCTATTGTGTGCCTCACCAGGCTAGAGGAGGGGTAGAGGCAGCAAGGGATGGAGCTTCAGGGAGAAGGGGCCGAGCCTCGGTGCAGGGGTCAGCAGCCCCCACCAATGCCAACAACTCACCAGAACTCAGGAAGCCGAAAACACCCACTCGGTAGCTAGCAGTGACCACGATGAGGTCGCCAACAGCAGCCAAGATGGAGCCATCGACCGTGGGCCATGCTGCACTCCCGTCGCCCTGCACCATGTTGTGGAAGAACACCAGCACAGATGCGTTGGGTGCCTGTGGGGACAGGAGAAATTCCGGCTAGAGGTGATGACGGCCATTTGCCCCCACAGGAGCTTGGTGAGGCCACTTTTCCCATGCGAGGTGCCAGATGCTGAATCGTCCGTGGGCTCTTCCTGTTGACTTTGTCCTGTGGATGCATTTACCCTGTGACACGAGCTGAAGTTTGTACCTCCCATTCTTAGATTGAAGTCCTAACCCCCGGGTCCTCAGAGTATAATTGCATTTGGAGTTAGGGCTAATGAGGTAATGAGGGTCGTGGTGAGGCCCTAATCCAGCAGAACTGGTGTCCTTATAAGAAGGAGAGAGTCCTCCTTGCCCGGGGTCCTCTGTGGCTCTCCTCAGTTGAACACCTTCACTGCACCTTGGTGATGCAGAGCCTTAGTCCATTAAGCACTTGCTGAGGACCAGGCACTATTCTAAGGATCTACATTTGGTCCCAAAACAGCTGTGTGAAGTTGGCATATTATTATTATTAATCCCATTTTACTGATGAGGAAGCAGAGAATTAGAGATCACACAGCCTGGAGGTAGAGGAGCTAGGCTGACAATGTTACAGTAGAATATTATTCTCCATTTGGGATCTGATGCCCCCCCAGGCATGGTACATGCAGGCACCAGGTGACTCAGGTCCGTCCAGGGTCCTGCCTCCTGTGGCAGGTCCACTTCATGTTCAATAGCTCCCCCACACAGATGCCTCCACACCAGGGCTCCCTCACCAGCAGCACCCATGACCTCAAGGACCTGCCTCTGTCAGCCTGGGCTAAGCACTCTGACCTAGAACATTGCAGGAGATCTTCCACCCCTGAAGTAGATGCTGTAATGACCACAAACACCCCATTCTACAGGTTTGAATGAACAAGCCATTCTCAGAGGTTCAGAGCATGAAATAACTAGTTAAAACTCCCACAGAATGGAAGAGGCCAATCCGTATTCTAACCCTGCCCTGACCTCTCAGGTGCTCTCCTGGCCCTTCCCTGCCTTCCCCACTTGGCGGAACTGTAAATTCTTCAGCTACGAGACCTTTTGTTTCACTTGCTCTGGGCTGTGCAGTGTCAGCTCCATGGCTAACACTCTTCCTTCACACCCCTCCCTGCACAAGTATCACCTCCTGATCTCCCCCTGACACTTCCTGTCACTTGGGTCTCCTTGCCCTGCTTATTTTTCTTCACAGTACTAAGTGATGCCATAATTGGGTGATATTTATTTATCTATTTATTTCTTCCCCTTTCACTAACACACAAGCCTTATGAGGGCTCTGGTACACACCTATGCCCCAGCCAGGACAGGGCCACGAGTGCCACAGACCCTGAGACCCACTGAGGGAACTAGGGGTCTGATGCACACTGTCCACCCCATGTGGTGCTGTGGGTGAGGACATGGGGAGGAAGCAGGAGGCTGCTCTGATCACTCTCAGCCATCCAGGCCTCCACAAACCTCAGAGCCACCTGCACACAGCACCAGCAGGGCACAGGCTCTGTGGGCCACAGGGGAGGTAAGTGGGCAGTGCTGGCTCTAGGGACAGCGGATTTTGGCAAACACAAGTGCTTTGGAACTCACCATGTTCTGAGGGACAAACACATTGAGATATAAGCAATCTTCACTGACTTCAAGAGATGTGGGCATCAGGATGCCTGGCTGCCAACAGCTGGCCCTGCAGATACAAACTGTGTGACCTTCAAGAGAAACAGCCATGAGCACATGCCCCATCCCTCTCCCCTACCCATTGCCTATGGCACGAAGACCACCCCACTCCAAAGGCCCGGGTTCCCATCAGCTCTGTGGAAAGTAGGAAGCTTCCAGAATTGGGGCTGGAACAGGATGCCCTCACTCTCTGGTCACTGGACTGTAGAGGAACATTTCCCAGGGACCATCCACCAGCCTAGAGAGAAAGGTGCTGACCTGGTGGCCCAGGATAGAGCAGGGGACAATGGAGGCCTCTTGGGACCACTGCCCTCACTTGCTCCAAAGTGTAGACCTCTCTCCAGATGGGACATCTGACCTATTTCCCACCACAGTGCAGAATCCCCGGGTGCTGGTCTAAGCATGTCCTGGTACAGGAACTGAGCCCACAGCTGAGACCAGGCCTAATGGTGGCAGGATATTCATCCACCCAACAGGCTACTTGAATGTCCCCCACGCCTTACCAGCTCTGGGCTGCAATGACCCACACTCTGCGGTCACTCTCCACTCACGGCCTAGGCACCTGGATCGCCTCATCTATCAAGTGGGTGCTTCCTAACGTGGTAAGGTGTTCTAGTTCACGGGCAGATAGCACGCCTTCCCGCCTTCCCGCCTTCCTGCCTTCCTGCCTTCCTACTCTACCGTCTCAGTTATGTCCTCACTGTGCTTTGCCTGGAGCTCCCTGCAAGCCTCCTAGCTCATTACCCTGTCCAGCCGGGGGCTAGAACACCTTACCACGTTAGGAAGCACCCACCGACAGATGGGTGCTGTGGGCCTGTGGCGCACCCAGCAGCCCACCACAGGTGGCAATGCAGGTGGAGGGTGAGCTGCCTGAGGACAGAGGCACGAGGTGCAGCAGAGAGGGAGAGGCCTGTGGGGAGGAGAAGGGCAAACACAATGGGGGTCTCCTCATGGGCACCCTGAGTGTGCTCCAATTAGAGAAGTACACGGAAGCATCCTGCAGTACGTCCACGATTTACAGTGTGCGTGGAGGAAAAGGAGTGGGGCAAACTGAAGCTTCTGATGGGGGAAGAAGATAGGAAACGGGTGCTGTGAAATAATAGCTTGTAATAGTGTCTCTAGCAGACAAGAACTTTGAACAAGCCTTCAAAATTCTTGTCATTAGTTCATTGACTTTTCCCAGCTTCCTTCCAGCAGAAGGGGCCAGGAGAATGAGCTCAGCCACTGCAATTCTGAGGCAAGTGCTCTGCGTGCCCCACCTCCAGGTTTGGCCGAGGGGAGCCCCCCTGCGGACTAATCCATAACCCCTCTTTCCCAGATCAACATCCAGGTAGACCTTGGAGGAACACAGAGCCTCCATGGCCTAGGCCCATGAACCCCTGCCTGGAGCAGAGCACACAGGCCACCACATCACCACATGAACTTCACACGAACAGAGCCCTAGTGAGCCACTGAGTTTTGGGGCCATCTGGTATAGCACTTAATGTCCCCCCAACTCATAAGTCTCTCACCTTCATACATTGATACATTGCTCAAGCCAGAGTGCACTGCTCTGCTACCAGACTCACTGTGGCAGATGAGGATAGGAAAGGCCCTCTCCAGGCACTCACCAAACATACTCCACTCAACATACCTTGGCCTGCTGGCATTCCAGGAGCCAGTCCAGTTCCAGGGCTCTGGTGCCCGGAAACGGCTCTCTGCCAGGGGTGGGGCAGCATAAGGAACTCCAAGGAACTGGTCCACTTGCTTCCATGATGTGCCCACCTGGACAGCCTGAGACCTGCCCAGCAGCTGGCCATGGGTGACAATAGGCACAGAAGGTACAGACGCCTCATAGCTGAGCAGAGGTATGCCTGTGGGTACAGGGGGGAAGCAGTGAGTACCCCCTGCACTGGCATTCTGAACGTGTTTTAAACAAAGGAGGGAGAAATCAGTGGTTTTTGCAACTGTAAAATGTCAGTAATTCATTCAGGTAGAACCCCGTAGCTTAAGTCTAGTTAAGTTTTCAACTTGAACAGAAAGAAATAATAACAAAGACAACTGATCTTTATGAGGCACCAAATGTGTGTGCACAGGGAAGCAGGGATTTCTCCTGCATGTGTGTTGTTAATATCCTGCACATCTTCCCAGTTGGACTTCAAGGGGCTGCCCACCCAGGCCCACAGCCCCCTTCTAACATCCTGGGCATTTGGAAAGAACAGAGGGCACCTGGCAGGCAATATTCAACCTGCCTGGGGCCAGCTGGGGCAAAGCTTGTTCACCAATCAGCATCATGTCTGTGCTGAAATGTATAGATTATTTATATTAGAAGGGGTGAGTAAAGAATATTATTTCTTCAGGCGCTACAAGTCACATTTTACCACCAAATGAGTTTGCTACAAACTTAGAAAGAGAAACTGACTTTTAGAACTTCTGAATTACGGCTAAGGGATTATATACCCATATTTACAGTTCACTGATAAAGAAATAAGTTTAGGGGCAGAGGCTTAGGGCCTGCCAGGACCCCACAGTGAGGCAGGATTCAAAGCTACGCCCTCTGAACTCCACCTCTAAGCTTTGCCCTCTCTGTGTCTCAGGTGCGCCTGCCTGTGAGGCCCTCCCTCCTACTAGTTCAAGTCTAAATCTTTCTTACCCATAAGGCCAAGACTGGGCCATTTGCTCACCCTGCTGGGTCCCCCAGGGCCCCTCCAACCCCCCTTGTAATGCTAATCACCAGCAACTTCGATCTCTTCCCCATAGCCTGATCTTGTTTCCTTCAGGGCATTTTCATTCATTCATTGACTTGAATAATTAAGCCAATGATTAATTGACTGATTTAATAAACTTTTGGGGGGGTCCTGACTTGTTGCCAAGTACCATTTTCAGGAACTTGAGACAGGCCTGATTCTCCAAAAGACTTAAAGCCTTGCACAAAAAAAAGGAATAAATACTCTTGAAGACATTCTTCGTATGTGAGTAATCTCTTACAATGTCTAAAGGTACTGATAAGAAAAGATGAATACAAGTCATGTCAAGCAACTTGTAATGCAGAAGTCAAACATGACTTGAGCATGACAAATTTAATACAGTTTTTTTCTTACTTAAAATGTGTGTGTATTTTTTGGCTCCCTCTCTCTCTCTATATATATATATATATGTGTGTGTGTGTATATGTACATGTCTATACATATATACATATGTGTATATGTATACATATATGTGTATGTATGTATAGACATGTATATATACATATACACACATATATATATATACACATACACATGTATACACAATCACACACTCACAACAGTAATGACTAGATAGGAATAAGGAGAAAGGAAGCAGACAGGCAGAAGTCCATCTATTCCTCAAGGGTTTGAAATAATGTGATGGTTCTCAATTTGAAGTGATTTTGACCCTAGATCATTTGACTGTGCCTGGAGATATTTTAAATTGTCACAAGAGTGAGAGAGATGCTACTGGTATCTAGTAGGAGAGGCCAGGATGTTGCCAAACATCTTATAATGAACAAGTCATCCCCACTTCACCAACACCCCCCCCACACACACACACAAAACAAAGAATTCTCCAGCCCCAGGTGTCATTGTGTTCTGAGATTGAGAAACCCAGGTACAATATTGGTTCATGCCATCCAGTTCACTGACGATCACCCTCAGTGACCCTCTGGTGCAGTGAAACCAACAGATGGCCCAAAGGGTTGAGCAGATCTGTATTTTATGTTATGGAAAAGCTATTTATTGGGGCTCAGCGCCTATAGTACAGTAGTTACAGCGTCAGCCACATGCACCAAAGGCTGGTGGTTTCTAACCTATCCTGGGCCAGCTAAACAACAATGACAATTGCAACAAAAAAATTGCTGGACATTGTGGTAGCCGCCTATAGTCCCAGCTACTTGGGAGGTTGAGGCAAGAGAATCACTTAAGCCCAAGAGTTTGAGGTTGCTGTGAGCTGTGACACCACAGCACTCTATTGAGGGTGACATAGTGAGAGTCTATCTCAGGGAAAAAGGGAAAAAAAGCTACTTATTGGGAAAACTTTGTAATCTTTCTGATCCTCAATAGTCTCAACTGTGAAATAGGAACAATAGAAACTCCCCCAACACGGTGATGTTAGGAATCCATAGCAACACCTACGTCTTTCACGCCTCCTGCCTGGCAGGTGGCAGGAGTTCAACACCTGAATGAATGAATGAGTAGAAGGAAGAAAGGAAAAATAGAAGGAGAAAGGTGGAAGGGAGGCCTAGAGAGAAAGAACAAGCAAACGAAAGCTTCTCTGTTGCAAAAACATTGGACTATGAGTTAAAACTCAAAATGAGCACTCAGGATGGAAAAAAACAGTTGCTGTTTTTCAAGCTGACCTCAAATCACAAATCATGGCTGATCTCACTCCCACAGTTCCTTCTCACAAGATTTCCTGTCGCAATTTTAAATCAAAAGGTGTCAGGCAAGCACTTAGGACCATGGCTGTCACAGTGGCAGAACCTTCTGCTATGCAGGAAACAGCCACATATCATGAACGTGGCACCACGTTGGAGGAGCGAAGCCAGAACAAACACACGGCTAAAGAATTTCGAGGGAATGAAGCCTGAGCCTGCTTCCCAGGGACAGTGGCATTCATTCCTCCTTTCAAAGGCTGCTCAGCGATTCTCAAGCTAAATGAAATCAAACATGGAAAAAATGCCAGATGTGAAGTTCTCTCTTTTGAGTTCTTTTGCAGAAATGGTAGATTCTTCCCAGAATACTCACATATTTAGGCCATGTGACTACCTAGGTTAAAGAAATCATCTGTAGACTCCGTGCTGATAGCACAGTGGTTATGGTGCTCAATACACATACCTAGACTGTTGGGTTCATACTCAGCCTGGGTCAGCTAAACAACAATGACAAATGCAACAAAAAATAGCTGGGTGTTTTGTTGGGTGTCTGTAATCCTAGCTACTTGGGAGGCTGAGGCAAGAGAACTGCTTAAGCCCAAGAGTTTGAGGTTGCTGTGAGCTGTGATACCACAGCACTCTACTAAGGGTGATATAGTGAGACTGTATCTCAAAAAAAAAAAAAAAAGGAAAGAAAGAAATCATCTGTGGCTACATACAACATACATTAGCTGCAAACAAATGATGTCTGTATGAAGGTGACATGTACACAAATACGGTGTGTATCTTCTTTCAGAAGTGAGCATTTCACATTGAATTTTATCATACTGAATTCCTAGAGAGGCAGTCTAATTTGCTTTACAGAATTCAAAACTTAATGTTAAGATATGTCTCAGCAGAACTACCACACAGATCAGCTACACTATTGGTGAATTATACTATTAAAATCTATCTAGCTTGACTAAATAATATAAATGTCCAGAGAGACATAAGAGAAGACTTGAGATTGAGGAGCTAAGATCTGAGCCCAGAGGAATCAAAGCATTTCCAGGTCTGGAAGACACTCTCATGATCTGAAGGCTGAGGTCAAGAAGGGGCAGCAGAGGAGGGCATCAAGACAGGACTGAATGACTGTCAATGCTCTAGGACAGGAAGGAGCCAAATCCAGTGGCTACCTAGTTTCTTAAATAAAGCTTTATTGGAATGCAGTCAAGTTGATTTGCTGAAATATTGTTTATTGCTATTTTCATGCTACAATGGCAGTTGAGTAGTTATAACAGAAACATGTGACTACAGAGCCAAAAATATTTATTATCTGGCCCTCTACAGAGAAACTATGCAATCCCTGCTCAAGGAGACAAGATGGGCAGGTTCAGCCAACACTTTAGCACAATAAACACATCTAGTTGGGAGGTGCATCCCACAGGCTCCCAGCTCTTAGCAATTTTACTTGGATTTATATGCTACACCCGCTTACAGGCCTCATCCCAGGTGCCCCAAGCATCCAACACAATGTCTGAAAAAATATTTTTTAACTAAACTCAGCCTGGATCAGCTGCCCTCTCGAAAGTTCCCACAATGTGGAATTCAGGCAGTGCAGGTTTGTGGGAGAGGATGGCATCTTGAGGTAGGAGATCTGGCTCCAAGTTCCAGTCCTCCATCACTATCTATGTGAAACCAGGTACGTATTGTAACTTCTCTGGGCTACAGGCCCCTGATCTCTGGGATGGGGATAAAGCCTTATCCTGCCACCACACAGGATTAGTATGAGGACCAAATGAGATAAGGTCCATGAAAGAACTTTCTAAACTACAAAGCAGTAATAAAATGTGACCTAATTAATCATTTCACTAAGAAACTCAAAGGCCAAGTTGGCCTCTATAACTCAAAAGAGTAAATGAACAAAAGTGACACAGAAGTAGGAGTTTTTTCTATCTTCCTTTTTTCCTTCTTTCCTTTCTTCCACCCCATGTGAGTGGCACCTAGCTCAACATAGCTTTGACCAAAACAAGCTACCACCCACCAAGTCACCCCATATATTTGAACAATTCCTGTCAACCATGCCCAGGTTCTTAGGAATCGCTGGAAAGGCACAGGCCTTGGCTTACCCGGCTTCCGGTAGACGTGGGTGGCCTCCTCATGGAGCAGAACTTGGCAGTTCTGGCCCTGCAGGCTATGTGTGCAGCTTTGGATGTCAGAGTAGAACACACACCTTACAGCCCCAGGTCGGGTTTGCAGAGTTGCTATGCGGCAAGCCTGGTGCTGGGAACATTCTGCACAGATGAGGAAGAAAAGTGAGACTTGGGCTTAGAGGTGTTACCTCACTCCTGCACCCAGGTATCCATGCACGTAACCTGCCGTTCATCTGTCTTTCTACCCATGCATCATCATCCATCCTTCCATCTAATCATATATCCGTCGGTCCATCTATCTGTTCATCTTCCATCCATCCACACATCTGATCATTTCATCTGATCATTCATCCTCCAGTCCATCTATCTAACCATCCATGCATCATCAATCCTTCAGTCTAATCATGCATTCATCAGTCCCTCTATCCATTCATCTTCCATCCATCCATCCAACCATCCACACATCATCATCAATCCTTCAGTCTAATCATGCATTCATCAGTCCCTCTATCCATTCATCTTCTATCCATCCATCCATGTATCATCATCCATTCTCTTATCTGATCATTCAGCCTCTAGTCCATCCATCCAACCATCCACGCATCATCATCATACCTCCATCTAATCACACATCTAACAGTCCATCTATCCATTCATCCATGCATCATCAATCCTTCAGTCTAACATGCATTCATCAATCCACCTATCCATTCATCTTCCATCTATCCATTCATC